ACACCATCCGCTCACACGCCAATCCCAATGTGACAGCGACATTCACCTCTACCACAACTCACAACCTCACGATTCCCTGCGCCTGCCACGAATCTTTCCCCATCCACACGTCTAACGCGCACAAAGTACTGCGCCTGCCACGAAATGTCACCTCCCTCACACCTCGCAACCTCACGATTCCCTGCGCCTGCCACGAGAATCGCACTTCCACGCTTCAAAGCCCGCACGAAGTCCTGCGCCTGCCACGAAAAGTGACAATATCATCGCATGTGAGCTTCAACAAAATTTGCACCACACCACACGGTTGGAATGATTTCGACCCGTTCAGAGCACACTCCCATCCACCAAAATCGCCATTTCAGCTGAGACTTGTCACGAAAACAGGGCTTCGATGCCACACCCTGAAGCGCAAATCCCAATGGCACAGCCACATCCAACACCCCAAAAACACGACTCTCCAAATGCTAATCCCAATGGCACTGCGCAGCAAACTGCGGATCTCACAAAACGCTGCGCCTGTGCAGCGAAATGCATCACGCTTCTTGCGCGACATGTCGGTGTCATGCAAATCACAATGGAATAGCGCAAACTGACACGTGGCACATCCATGAAAAGTCACTTGCAAAAGCTTCCCCCAATGGCAGCAAATTTGAGACGCGACGACGACGACAAACGACGAGAGACGACGACAGACGACGACAGACGACGAGAGACGACGACAGACGACGAGAGACGACGAGACGACGCAAGCCATGCAAACACAGCTCCAACCCCCACACCCCCAACTATAAACGGGAACCCTTCGCTACGCATTCGGGAAAAAGAGATGTATTGAACCTGGTCGTACATGCTTCTGACGAAATGTTCTCATATGACTATATGACTCATATCATATCTTTGGTTCCCATTGGACGTGTCCAAAAGTCGCGTGTCACACGGCCCCAGCTCTGCCGTCGAGCGACAGCAGCCGCTCCGCTTGGCGCAGCAGCTGTCGGGCGCCGTTGACATCTTGGCACAGCACGCTCAGCAGCGCCTGGTCGTCCGCACCTTCTGCGAGCAAAGCGGACGCGCATGTGGCGGCACCGGCGCCCATCGCGACGCGGCCAGAGCAGCGTTACTCAACTCGTAGGCTGTAGTCCAGAGCACCCAATCCGTTGGTCCATGCGGAAGTCATGGTCGAGTCCATCGGGTTCTCGTGCTGTGCCGGAAGTGATCACCCGAACGGAAGCGATGGCCGACCGATGGCGGTGCAATGAACAGGTGACGGTCACTCTCTTCGGAACCAAGCTCCAACAGAATCCGAATCAGAGATGTTGACTGGCTTTGCTCTAAAACTTGGACCATCCAAACAACAAGCCCGAACCACCGAAGTGATCACAAGATTTCCCGAAGGGCGCACCTCCCTCTTCACTTCCCCTCGTTCATCCTCGTGCGAAGGCTGCCTGGAAGGGAGGGCAGGATACGGCTTACGTGGCTGGAACACCATGTTCGGCGCTAGTAGCTTCTTGTTACTGAGCTACTAATGCCAGCTACCTTCGTAGCGTTGAACATGTCAGAACTCGGTCGAGCCGACCAATGTCCTGTCTTGGAACTCATCGGTCTCGGTCGGCCAATGTTCCACTGCAGCGCGCGGTCGAGTATCACCAAATCGAGTTGTAGAGTTGTAGACTGCTAGTAGCAAAAAGCTACTAGTAGCAAGGGCATTTGTACTAGGAACAAATTAGCCCAGCTGGAGACCCCAATAGCAAGATACAAACCGGGACAAAAAGAAAAATCTGGAAACAGCTGCTGTTTTCAACACATCGACCATCTCTTCCTTGGACACCATCATCACATAACCGGAACACCATCACAAAATGACCAGGGCACCATCAAAACATGACCGAGACACCGTCACAACATGACTGGGACACAATCAAAACATGATCGGGACACCATCACAACATGACCGCGCCACCATCACATGATCGGGACACCATCAAAACATGACCGGGACACCGTCACAACACGACCGGGACACCATCACATGACCGGGACACCATCACAACATGACCGGGACACCATCAAAACATGACCGGGACACCGTCACAACACGACCGGGACACCATCAAAACATGACCGGGACATCACAACATGACCGGGACACCAGCATCACATGACCCGGACGCCATCAAAACATGACCCGGACACCATCCGCCCACCAGCTCTGACGGTGACCCGACTGCGCCCGTCCGGCTATTAGTTTTGCAAGACCTCATAGCATGGCTATTGGGGAAAAATGCTTCATTGTTACTACAGGTGAAAGGATTCAGAGTGAAACGATTCCCAGTGAATCATCGCCACTAGTAACAAGAAGCTACTAGCTTCTTGTTTCTAGCTACCATCGCCAAGTCGATCCGCTCCTCGGTGACTCAGTCGTATTCGCTGGTGCATGTGACTCCGAAGGTGCAAATCCGAGTTCTCGTGACTTCTCGCTGGTGCGTGTGATCACTAACCTGGGAAACCAAAGCAAGAGATCCAGTCGACTTGTAGGTGGTATATAACCAATCTGGCTATCAGCCATGGGAAATGTTTGAAACCCTCGAACAAATTCTTGTGCCTATCAGACTAATCTTCCCACCAATCAACCATGCAAGCGTCACCTCCTTTTTCCTCTCTGCATTCCTCCCCCGCTTTTCGAGGGAATCCGGTGAAACCACTGGAACCGGACGTGCGCGAGGCGCGTCCGCTGCTGTCGGATGGGATGCCCCCCGTGGCCACGGTGTAGAAGGTGGCGATGCTGAAGGGCCGTCGCAGATTGGCAGCAGAAACCGTCCGGTTCAGCAAGCGGCAGGCCTTTTCAACGGCCACCGTCCGGGAACCGGACCGTCGGTCTTCGTTTCAGAAACGAACGATCCATGCAGACGAAAAGCCCCCAACATGAGTGTGAAAGTGTGGCTTTCTAAAGCTTAAGCCATCTGGGAAAGAAACCTCAAAATGGGTGCCTCAAAAATGAGAGAGAAACCACACAAATTCCCTTCAACCTAGCGATGGCCTCCAGCCTAATAGCGATGGCCTTCAACTTGGTAGCAATGGCTGGCCTCCAACCTGCTAGCGATGGCCTCCAGCCCAATAGCGATGGCCTCCAAGCTACTAGCGATGGCCTCCAACCTAGTAGCGATGGCCTCCAACCTAGTAGCAATGGCCTGCCTCCAACCTACTATACTAGCGATGGCCTCCAGCCTAATAGCGATGGCCTCCAACCTACTAGCGATGGCCTCCAACCTAGTAGCGATGGCCTCCAACCTACTAACGATGGCCTTATACCTAGAAACTGGTTTCTACCACCCCTAGCTGCCAGTCCAAAATATCAATGCTTCCGACCCGTCAATCCATCGATCAACCCACCTCTTGTTCGGTGGCGGTCACCCCCAGCTCCCCCAAGTACCGCGCCAAGTGCCTCGCGAGATGCCAAAACGCAAGACGTGCGGAAAAAAAGGAACCCGCGTTGCGTCCAACGATGCCCGCGTGGTGATGTTGCGTCAAACGGTGCTCAAAACAACAAATAAATCCTGTCCTCTACAAACACTGCCCGTCGGTGTCATGTTTTCGCAACCCTCGGCCACGTTCCCGGATCGCTTCCGAAGCACTTCCGGATTTGCTTCGTGGGCACCTTCAGGTTCGGACTCTGTCAAGACTCTGTCCGTCGGTGTGAGGGCCAAGTCGTCGGATGTGAAAAGGACGCCAAGTACAGGTATTGCTTACGTATCATATTAGAATATTGGCATTCCGGGTCAACCAGACCATTCTCTGTTACGTGACTCCAACAGAATCATCGTCGCTTTCTTTCATGGCACGTTCCTCCACCGAATCATTCCCGTTTAACTGACGCCCGAACTGACGCGATCGTGCCTTGGATTGACACACTTGCTGTGAGGGTCTACAGCATCTGAGTAGTGAGCCATCTTGCGATAGGCGTGATACAAGTTCCCACTGAATTGCCGGTCATTCTTGTCCTGTCCGCGCCGCGCCGATCGCCCATCCCCCGGAGCCCACGCAGCACCGGAGCGTGCTGAAGGAAGGATGGCACACTGGCCATGGGGCAACATCAACGTTGATGGCTGGAACCGAATCCAAAATCGAACGGACCTTTTTGTGGACTGTAACCGGAACCAAATCCCATGAGCTACGCTGGAACCCACTTCACATCCGATTCCTTGGAGGTCAAGAAGCACCTTCTTTGCAAAAGTGAAGTGCGTGAACTCAGAGAAAAATTCACGATGTCTCCACTACAACACCGATGTGTTCAGCTTGTTCGACTGCTTCTACTGGCACCCCTTCCTCTTTCTTTCAACGTTCTTGCCTTTATCAAAAGATTCCTTTCTCTGTACCAAATCTCCGACAACGGTGATAGCTGACCACTTGCCAGACCACTTTCCAAAGACCAACACAGAGCCATGACAAGCTTGGAGGGACAGGTCAACCGCTCAACATGGATGAGACGCTTCCCAGAGACCATCTCACCGTTGAGATGCTTACTCATTTGGGGGGAGAACCTGGCCTCCAACAACCTACTATATATTGTCAAAGCCGAAACAAGCAAGATGAGCACCTTTTGGCGCCCACGCTAAAGCTCAAGGCCTAAACGGCCGCGGATGGTCACAGCACGTACCACCTCGCTACAAATGACCTGCCGTCACCTGAACAGTCATGAATCAGCCTTTTGCACTTCACATTCCTCAATGTTCTGTGACTGTTCAGGCAGCAACACGTCACGATGGGAACTAGAGGCACCTGACAAAGATGCCAACTTGTCGTTGTTGATGTCATCTGCCAGTACCCTCATCTGCTCAACGATGAGACCCATCTGTTCGCTGTCTTGGTAGACACAAGCCGCCTCCCAGGAAACTGTCAAAAGAAAGTAGGTTCTCTCCTTTGATGTCATCGAGTCCCAGCGTTCTTGACTCATGCCAGTCGCCTTCATTGACTCTTTGTCATCCTTTGCACCTTCATACTCTTCATCATTCTCTTCTCTTTCTTCAAAGGGTGCAATCCGACCATCACCTGCCGGATCTGGAAACAACTCCTGTGGTGTAGGCGATTCCAGCAAACTCATCACCTCGGACTCTGTCGGGGTTCCTGGTGCTTCACGGCGATCCTGTCTTTTCTGTAGAATGTCTCGTTTTGCCTCCGAGCTCATTGATGGTGTTCTCCTCCTTTTCTTCTGCTTCAATCTCTTCTCCAAATCGAGCGCTCTTACTTCCTGCCGTTCTTGTTTGTACTCGATCCTGATCAATCGATCAATGACTTTTGTGATTCTGTAGTTGTGTTCTTCTGATATATCGTCCATTTTCTGATATGTAAAGCGATTGCTGTCATTGACGAAATTGGAGAGTTTCTTGAAGTCTTCATTGACTGCATGTCTGAATCCGTCCAAGTTGGTCAGCATGATGTTGTTCTCAGAAAACATCTGTGAAAGTCCAGCATGGATCAGCTCTTGGGTCTTTCTTCTCTCGGTTCCCAAGATGAGGTTTGTCGTCGTTGTCTTTTCATCAATTCTCTTCACAATCATCACCATCATGATCACCATTGCTCCCAACAACACTGTAAGAAATTCTGAATTCTGTGAAACTGTTGCCTTCATCCCGATTGCCACCGTCAGCATTGTCACTGTTGCAACAAGAGCGCCTTGTTTGTACAATGCCAGGTCCTCATACCATCCAAACAGCTTTGTGAACTCAACTGTGTTGTACCAAAGGGCTGCTGTCAGTACAATGATCAAGCACGCAAAACTCAACTCCCATGACCATGAGTGCAAAATCGTCCTTACGTCTTGCTCTGCATTGACTGGAAGGAACTGCTGTGCAAATGATAACATCAGTACTGCTTTCGTGTTCACACCACTGCCTGGGGATGTCGTGGATGCTGAGGCTGTCGTGTTGGGGCTGTCAATGATCTCATCATCATCGAGCTCAATGGGCAACTTGTTGATTGCTGTTGCTTCTTCATGATCTTGAATCTTCTCCGGCTTGGGCTTTTCATCTGGGTTTTCAAGCTTCCGGCTTCTCGATGTCTCTGGAAGACGAGGATCTGGTCCAAGAGTCCACTTGTTTGAGTACAGCACATCGTTCAGGTATGCCAATCCTTTCCGATGTGAGGCTTTTGTCAAAGCATCGGCCAACTGCTGCTCTGATGGGACCCACTTGCATTCTATCCCTTCTTGCAAACTCTGCCGGATGATGGCTGCTTCGAGCGACAACCTTCTGTCTGAGAGAAGCACTCGTTCCGACTTCATGCAATCATATAGGGATCTGCAATCTGTGACCGTCACTCCAGGAATCTTGTGTAGATGCTCTTTGTATTGCTTCATGTCCAAATCACCATGCAAAATCTCCAGAACTGTAGCACGAAGCCAACTGAGGGCATCCAAAGCTTCCGAACAGGAATATGCTTCAGCACTCAATGTAGACCGCACCACACGTTGGATCTTCGAAGATGTCCAATGCACAAAATGAACATGATGCACTGAAGTCCGATCCTTCATGATCTGTGGTGTGGAAATGCCCAACCAGTATCCTTTCTGGCTTTTGTGTCCCGGTAGATTGTTGAATGAAGCATCGTGAACTGCAACCACTGAAATGTCTTCCGGTTGCCAGGACATTCCCGGTCTGTAAATCAACTCCTCATCCTTGTGATATTGCTTCACCTCACGAACTAGCTTTGCTGCTTCCTTCAAACTGGAAATCTTCAGATTCTTGACTTCGCTGGCCAGTTTGCTCACCTGAAAACCAATTGCATAGCCCATGATCCGTGCATACCACTGTAGTTGACCTAACAGTCCTCTGAAGGCCTTCACCTCACTTGTGGTCAAAGATGCATTGTTGTCCTTGCCACGTTCTCTGCTGACTTTGTAGGTGCTCATGGTGTCGATGTAATCTTGTGCATGCACATGGATTCTTCCATCTTCTTCCTGGGTGTAGGACCGTCCACAAAACTTCAATGCGCCGTCCGTCCTCCATTGTCCCCACTCGACTTCTTGCTGCATCTTCTCCTGCATGGATTTGCATTCTTCTGGAAACTGCTTTTCATTCCATGCAATGAGGACATCGTCGACATGTAGTTCCAGGATTGCAATCAGTTCTCGTGTCGTAGGGTCTCGGAGTACAAAACCTGCCAACTCGAATGTCAGACATCCCCAGCCAAGTCCTAGGAGGATTCCCTTGATGGAATGGTACCATTGTCGTGCAGCATCGTTCACACCATAAATTGACTTCTTGAGCTTCAACAGTGAACCTGGTTGAACTCCCGGAATCTGAGCCTTTCCAATGTTCTTGGGGGGTTCAAAATAAAGCTCTCTGTCGATCTTCAAACCTTGAAGAAAAGCACCACGCACATCGGCAGCTGTGAGCTTCATGAAGCGAGAGGAGGCCAAACTGCAAATGATCTGAACAAGCAGGTTTGAACATGTTGGTGAGTCTCGCCTGAGCGACTCATCATATTCTTCTTGAAATCCTCGACCAACAACCCTGCATTTCAAAACCAGCTCCTCCTTCTCATGTGCTTCTCGCTTCTCATCATCCTTCTTTGTCCACACTCCTCTTGAAGATATCACCTTCTCGGGAGTTTCTTTTCTCACCTGCTGACTTTGCTCTGGAGGAATGATGTCAATGGCATCAAACTTCTGCCATGTCCCGATTTCTTTCTCCACCGCCTTCTGCATTGCCTCCTCGATCTCTTCCTCCGTGAACTGAGAAAGTTGTGCCTTCATCCTTTGTGGATTCAACTCTGTGTGCTTGTTGTGCTTGGTGTAGGTGTCCAACCTCTCGGCTAAAAAGGCAACACACATGGTCTCCTTCTCTTCAGGCGTGAAGATGCTCTGTGAGTCTTCTTGTCCACTTTCTGCCTTTTCTTCGAGCCTTCTTCGAATGGCACCACGAACTGACTCCGGCACATCATCAAGGAGTAGATCTCTTTTCCTCTTGTGTCCATCATCTTGGGAAATCATCGAGGGCATACTTGGAGAGTCTTCGGGAAGAGGAACAGGCTGTTCCTCAATGTTCTGTTGGTTTGAGCTTTCCAACTTCTTCTTCCTCTTTCTTCTCTTCTTGCTTGAGCTCTCCTCAGTCTTCTTGGGGCGACGAAGACCTTTGATCCTCCGAGCTTCTTCATCATCATCGTCAGCAGCTTCTGTGGTCTCCTCAGTCTCGCGTTTCCTCTTCTCCTCTCTCTCAACCTTTCTCATGGCTCGAACTTCACGGGATTCATCACCACTGGAAGTACATTCATCTTGGTAAGTTGTTGCCATCTCACCTGCTGCCTTGGGCGACTCCACATCGTTCTCATCTGGTGGTTCTGTCGGCTCATACTCATTCTCCTCCTCCAGATCGATGGGGTCCTGCGGCTTTGAGAGGTCAAGGAAACCTTGTTGTCCATTCTTCGGAAGGAGACTGCCTTCATCCTCCAACATCAATTCTTGTTCTTCTGCAATGGCCCTTCTCATGTTGTGTGGATGTGCCAAAATGGGAGTGCCTCTATGGATAATCCAGTACCCATGCAAATCTCTCCCAATCACCCGCGCTGGTCCATGCCATTGCTTGTAGGCCTTATGCTTCAATCCTTTTCTCTTGTACATCACAAGCGAGTGCATGTCAAATGGACCTGGTTGCTGTCGGGTTTGAGAAAGTAGGGCACGACGAAGAGATGCGGAATGGTTTGCTTTCACAAAAGCATGTTCACAATCTTGAAGAAGTTTCATCCGCTGTGCCATGGCAAAATGATCATCGTGATCTGTTTTGGGAATGCCTCTTCCGTCACTCATGATCTCCGGCAGGTTTGGTTGAAATCCCAAAACACACTGAGCTGGAGAAAATCCACGATGATTGGACAGCCTGTTGATGGCCTGTACACAATTCACCACAGCCACTCTCGTCAGTATGGCACCTTTGATTTCACTGTCGTGAGCCACCTTCATCATCATCTCCTTCACAGTGAGAATCTTTCGCTCCACAACACCATGACTCCAATGTGCATCCCTAGCCACCAAAATCTCCTCAATGCCAAAGCGATCGAGCAACTCCCGGAAATCTCCTCTCAACGATCCATCTTGATCGACCTGAACTCGATCAGGACTTCCGAAGACTTCCATCCAGTCAACAAGCGACTTGCGGCATTGCGAGGATTGTGGCTTCTTTGGTCGACCTGGAGTCTCTCCTGAGCACAAATAAGAAGCAAGAGTATATGATGTTGCCATGTCCACCATGAGCAGGAAGGAGTGCATCACATCATCTTGATCGGGGATGTGAGCAATGTCCATGGCCACACACTGATTGAAGTGATCATACTTTGGAACTGCGGCCATCGGTCTTGCTGGGCTTCTTCTCTCCTTCTCGCATGTAGGACAGGTGAACAAGGATGCTGCCTTGATTGCTTGATCTGATGCACCTGATAGCCTCAAATGTCGGCTGAAGTTCGCCTTGTAGAGGGAGTGGGAATACTGTCGATGCACCTTGGTGATTGCGCTTCTGAGAAGCACGGGAACTTCTTCCCACGTCTGAAGGTCTTCTTCTTCCCGTTGTCGAAACATCACATCTGAGCTTCTCTGAAGTGCATTGTGGTACACATCTTCTTCTTCAAGATAGTACTTGACTTCTCCACACTTCTCCTCCAAAAGAACTTGTCGCTGAATGCCTTCTAGAATCATGACACCAAGTTGGGGTGTCCACTGTCCCAGCATGGAGGAAATATTCTTGCCATCTCTCACCCCACGACCTTGAACTTGTGCATGTTCGTGATCTCCTGTGCATCTCAATGTCAGCATTGAAGCCAAAACCGGAGAGGATGTGACAAAGCGTGTAGGCTTCAAAACAAAGTCTCCATTGATGTCTTTCAGATCACTTGCACATTGGTCCATGCGGGATGTGTAATGCGGCATGCCATGTTCAATCTTTTCCAGCAAAATCTTCCATGCCTGACTCGCCAATGGGTTCTCCAACAAATAGTGTCTTCCTTCAGAAATTTGAAGTTCGCAAACTTGCCTCACAAAGTCCAGATGATCGAGGGCAATTTCTTGCTGTACCCTTCGAGTGTCTTCACCCAGAAAATTGCTGAGGGGCGTCCAGGGATCACAATTGAAACCCATCGTGACAAGACTTGGCTTCTCAACCTTGATCTCTGCCAAGATCCAATCACGATCTTCTTTCTTCAAGAAGTTGTCTCCCAGCAAAAGATCACGTGGTCGTCCCACGGGCATCTCATTGTCCTTTGCTAAGGCTGTCACAACTCCACCATCTTCACCACTGTAGAGCTCCTTCACAATCACCCTTTTCGCATGGGAACGATTCCCTCTTCGGAGTTCTTTCCAAAGTGCTCTGCCGTGCTCTTTTGCCTCTTCTGCCATCTTTTGAACTTTCCTTCTCAACTTTCCTTTCATAATCCTGATGGTCTCCACGTTGAAGTCCTTGGCTTTCAATTGATGAAAAACCTCCACCGTTTCTCCTGCCAGCCGCGTAGACTTCTTGTTTCGTCCACCTTGTCCGATGTTCAGCAACAAATGTCCACCAGTTCCATAGTCCATCTCCACCTTCTCTGAACCAATGGTTGTGAACTGGATGGTAGGCTTGGGTGTTGCTGTAAGGTCAATCACCGCTCCCAATTCCCTGAGCTGAGGTAACCCAAGGAGCAACGGAACATCTGAATTGGGAAGGCGATGCAAAGCCACTCTGCCCTTCTGACCTGCAATGTTGATGTCAATCCATTGCTGGTGATGAACCATCACCGGGGCATCTGCATTCACTCCTTTCAACACCTTGTTGGATTCCTGCAGCTTTGTCTCACTTCCGAACCGTTCAACAAACTTGTCCAGAGTGCGATCACCTCCGCAACCGATCAACGCTGCTGTGTCCACAACGCATCTGCCTGCGGGAACTGCTCCACTGCTGGTGTTGTTCATGAATGTCAAACTGTGCGGAATTGCTTCTGCCTCATGGTTCTGGGTCATGTAGGCATCAACTTCGCTCAACACCTCACCATAGTCCTCCAACTTCGGAATCACCTCATGGTCTTCCTCCAGGTGAAATGCTGAGTCATAGCATTCATCCACCATCAATCCAACACATGACAATGCTTCGTGGCATGACTGAAGCAACTGCCCTGATGCTGATGCCAACATTGCTGCTGCCATCCCTGCTCGCTGTAGAAAGCCACCTTTTCTGCCGCCCTTCTTTCCATGTCCCTTCTTGCCACCTTTTGAGCTCGGTGAACCAGGACTCTTGGGGCAACTTCGATCTCCTCGCCAGTGACCTTTCTGACCACAATCGTAGCATTGTGTGCGAGCCTTCACCTGTTGGATCTTGTCTTGAAGCTGTCCTGCATTGAGTGTCAACTTGCCATCTAATGCAATCGATGTCTTGTTGTGACCAATTGCACTGGACTGCGGCCGAAAACCACGATTGGTCTTCCCGTCTCTCACGGCCTGTCTCTTCCTGGCATATTCGGAAGCACCTTTGCCCATCTTTTGGATGGTGGCCGCGAAAACGTCCAGTTCCTCATTGGTGAGGTCCTCTACTGCCATGATCTCGACTGCGTGCTCCATTTCCTCAATGTCATGCTGAATGTCTTCTTCAACCTCATAGATGGGGATGTCATCATCCGTAGGCTCTTCTGCATACCATTCATCAATGGCATAGGCCTCTTCTGTCTCTCCATCATAGCTTGACCACTCTTCTTCGATAGGAAAGGCCCAAGAACCTCGCTTTCCAGCGCCATAGTTGTTCTGTGAGCGGGACTTGTAGCTTCCTTTCCAACCCTTGCCTGTCATCTCATCTCCGCCATCAAGCTGAATGAGCATGGCCTCCACGATCTTGTCCCAATCATATTCATTTCCAGCCTGACCCAAAATGGCTCTGTGCTGGCTTGGGTTCACACCTGCATTCCTCAAAAGGAAAAAGGCCTGGAGGTCCATGGAGAGCTTTGTGTGACCTTGTGTAAGTCCTGTCAGCTTCTCATACTCGCTCTCTCTTCTGCTGATGTAGTCCTGGATGCTCTCTCCCAAGCGGCGCCGTCCCTTGTCGAAGAAGTAATCTTCAAAGGTCTGAGTCTTCAACAATGGAGCGACCTTCTCACATGCAGCTCTGACCGTCTTCACCACCAACTGCACTGCTGCTTTGGGACCTGCACTGGCGCTCGCCTCGGCCTCGCTGAGCTGGAGGAGCTTCTGGGCCGCGATCTCCGGCTTGCGATGACAGAGGGTCCAAGCTCTTCCAAATAGAGCGTTCTTCAACTTCGCTGCATAGCTGACCTTGTCATCTTTTGCGACCGTCTGAAATCCCAACCAGACTCTCTCCTCATATTCTTCAGCCAGCTTCGGGCTTCAATCGTAGTGGACCACATTGGACTTGGGGTCAACAAAAAGTGACTGTCCTGAAGAGCTCGACATCCTCAAAACTCAAATAAAATCCGTGCAATGTGAAACTGTGGGCTTCCAATCAAAAATGTGCAATGAATTCCCAACCGGCAACTACCAAGGGAATATCCCACCAAATACTCGAGAAACGGATTCCGGTATTAAAGTGTTCCAAAACGCCCTGGCCAGCCACTGACAATGTACTGCACTGTACGGCAATGCAATGTCAACACCGCACCCAAGAGGGGTCAAAACGACCAGCACGCAAAAGCAGCACGATCCAATGGCGCACCCCCCGGGAGCAACGAGGCTCCGCCTACCAGTGTCAAAGCCGAAACAAGCAAGATGAGCACCTTTTGGCGCCCACGCTAAAGCTCAAGGCCTAAACGGCCGCGGATGGTCACAGCACGCACCACCTCGCTACAAATGACCTGCCGTCACCTGAACAGTCATGAATCAGCCTTTTGCACTTCACAATATATATATATATATATATGTGTGTGATAGTAACAAGAAGCTACGAACGGGGCTCCTGGCCTTACTACGTTACCGTAGGAGCAAGGACGCTACGAACGGGGCTCCTGGCATCGCTACGAACGGAGCATTCTGACTACGAACGTAACAAGAAGCTACTGAGCGATGGCCATTTTCCAGCCAAGGGTCTTTCATCATCTGGCGGATGTCAGCCACGCGCTTCTCGGCATCACGCAGCTCCGGTGATGCCAGGTGCGCGTAGCAGCCACAAGCTTTCCAGCGGTTGCTGTAGATGGAGCTTGGAGACAAGGTGGTGGCCGATTTGGAGGTCACCAGAATACCTTGAGGTGACCGTTTGGATTTGGTGTTTGCGAACATGCTGCTAAAACATAAAAAAAATAGAAACACTCATTTGGGGTGTTGGTGATTTATTGTCTGAAAAGAATTGAAGTGAAGGGACAACGCCTCCTTTCAGTTTTTGTCTATAGAGGATATAGTCTACATCAAAACATAGCTACAGGATTGAGTCTTGGACAACATCCCCCAAAAAAATCCATTGAAAGGGAGACCTCAAAAACATCGCCCCACCTGACACCTACAAAACATCCAAGAGACCTCTGGGGAACGTCCGCGCGCGCTCCCCGAGGCCGGCGCCGCCGCCGGCGCCGCGCCCCACCGCGCGCCCCGCCGGGGCGGGCGGAGCCTTTTGGGTCGCGTCCAGTGGGTGGGCGCCGTCCGTGCCGTCGCTCATCCTCCGCGCCGTTCGAGGGGAACGGGTCGTTTCTACAAAAGGCCGTCGAGTTTCGGGCCGTTCTTTTCCACGACAGGAAGTGGGAACCGTCAGGGGTGAACATTCAGGATCACCAGGAGTACCGAGTTCTCCATGACCATGTGCCAAGACGAGTTGCTGGCGAAAGACAGGGAAGAAACAACTGAATGTGCTCAAGGTGAATACAAGGAGAATCCAAGGGGACAATCCACATGGTCTCCATTTCCATCTTGCTTTCTAACCTTTCTCGTGAGGTGTTTCGAAAACGGCCGCTCCGCTGTGGGGTCGGTCCCCAAATCATGTCGCCCACAGTTGCCGCCAAACCCGAAAAGCATCAAGATGTCTTTAAGCCTTTAAGTCACTGCTCTCCTCCGATTTTTTGAGACCCACGGACCAATGTGATTTCTTCCATCTTCTCCCAATGACCTTTTGCTCACCAGTCATCCTCACCATCTCTACCCATCCAACCCAATCCAACTCGCACCCGTCTTATTTTCCGGGTCACATCACCAGAGCTCGTGGGTGCAAGGTCTTGGCCTCCACGAGCTCGGCGAACGGGCCTTTCCTGGACCGAACGGCGCTCGACCGGTGGACCGTCCGACGGGTCGAAGACGGGGGTGGTTCCAGCCGCCTGGAGATCGGATGCTTCTTCTTTGCACCAAACCTGCCCCCTAGACCCTCCTACATCCATCAAGTCGGACCATGAAAAAACACAGAACATCGAAAATCTTCTCACCCAACCACCATGGCGTCCTCAGCATTGCTCCGGTGCTCCGTGTGCTCCGCGTGCTTCGCTCCTCGGCCGCGGCGCGGCCGGGCGGCTCCTCTCGCGCCGCGCGGCCCAGGGAGGGCGCGGACATCGGGCGGCCCAGGCGGGGCCGCCAGAGGCCCGGCTCGTGGCTCGGCCACTCCATTGTCGGGCCCAGCTCGGTGTCTCGGGTGCCGGTTTGGATGCGAAGAAAGAAAGCTAAGGGTACACAGGTTTTTCCCGAAAGCATTGCGAAGGGTTTTTCCGGAAAATCCCTTGAACACTGACACTTCGACAATTACACTTCGACACTTACACTTAAACACACACAAACACACACACACACACACTGGAAGAGCGAAAGCATCCAAGTGCAAAGTATGCAAGTCTAATGATGAGCATGCAAGCACGCAATGAGTATGCAAGCATGCAATGAGTATGCAAGTGTGATGAGTGAACATGGAAAACTAGCATGGAAAACTAGCACGGGAGATGTCCTAATGAAAAACATTTCCCCCTAATGAAAAACATTTTCTCTCTTAAAGGCGGAGGGTGGGACGAACAGCGTCAACCGAAAATGCAACCCTCTGCGGAGATCGTGCGTGTCGAGTGCGCGAAATGCAGGCGAGAGCGCGATTCGCCCGGTGCGCGCGCAACCCTCTGCGGAGATCGCGCGTGTCGAGTGCGCGAAATGCAGGCGAGAGTGCGATTTGTCCGGTGCGCGCGCAACCCTCTGCGGAGATCGTGCGTTTCGAGTGCGCGAAATGCAGGCGAGAGTGCGATTTGCCGGCTGCGTGCGCAACCCTCTGCGGAGATCGTGCGTGTCGAGTGCGCCAAATGCAGGCGAGAGCGCGATATGCGCGGTGCGCGCGCAACCCTCTGCGGAGATCGTGCGTGTCGAGTTGCGCGAGATGCAGGCGAGAGTGCGATTTAATCTGCGCGCGCGCAAAGCTCTGCGGAGATTGTGCATTTCTAGTACCACTCTAGTACGCGGAGCAATCTGTGGAGCAGGAAGCTGAGAAAACTGGCGACTTCGTAGTACAACTTTAGTACGCGGAGTAGCTGGGGAGCTGGAAGATGAGAACTGGCGACTTGGTAGTACAACGTTAGTGCGCGGAGTAGCTGGGGAGTGGGAAGATGAGGAGTGGCGACTTTGTAGTACAACTTTAGCACGCGGAGTATCTGGCTTCGTAGTACAACTTTAGTACGCGGAGTAGCTGGGGAGCTGGAAGATGAGAACTGGTGACTTGGTAGTACAACGTTAGCGCGCGGAGTAGCTGGGGAGTGGGAAGATGAGGAGTGGCGACTTGGTAGTACAACTTTAGTACGCGGAGTATCTGGCGAGGTGGAAGATGAGAACTGGTGACTTTGTAGTACAACTTCAGTACGCGGACTAGTTGGGGAGCTGGAAGATGAGAACTGGCGACTTTGTAGTACAATTGGAGTCCGCGGAGTAGCTGGGGAGCTGGAAGATGAGAACTGGCGACTTGGTAGTACAACGTTAGTGCGTGGAGTAGCTGGGGAGTGGGAAGATGAGGACTGGCGACCTGGTAGTACAACTTTAGTACGCGGAGTGTCTGGCGAGGTGGAAGATGAGAACTGGTGACTTTGTAGTACAACTTCAGTACGCGGACTAGTTGGGGAGGTGGAAGATGAGAACTTGCGACTTTGTAGTACAAGTGTAGTACGCGGAGTAGCTGGGGAGCTGGAAGATGAGAACTGGCGACTTTGTAGTACAACTTGAGTACGCGGAGCAATCTGAGGAGCTGGAAGCTGAGAAGTGGCGACTGTGTAGTACAACATGAGAACTGGCGACTTTGTAGTACAATTGTAGTACGCGGAGTAGCTGGGGAGCTGGAAGCTGAGAACTGGCGACTTTGTAGTACAACTTTAGTACGCGGAGCAATCTGTGGAGCTGGAAGCTGAGAAGTAGCGACTTTGTAGCACAACTTTAGTACGCGGAGTATCTGTGGAGCTGGAAGCTGAGAACTGGCGACTTTGTAGTATAACTTTAGTAAGTGCAACTGTAGTACGCGGAGTATCTGGGGAGCTGGAAGATGAGAACTGGCGACTTTGTAGTACAACTGTAGTAGGCGGAGTATGTGGGGAGCTAGAAGATGAGAGCTGGCTTGGTAGTACAACTTGAGTACGCGGAGTATCTGGGGAGCGGGAAGATGAGAACTGCCGACGTGGTAGTAGAACTCCAGTAGGCGGAGGTGACTTGCGAGAGGTCAAGAACTTGTGAGATTCCCTGCAGCCGTGCACGCAGCTTCTCCCCTTACCAGCAGCTCAAATGCTCATGACGATGAGCTGGGCTGTCACCGCTTGGCCGCCGGTGGGGGGTTTGGGAAGCCGCATCGCACACAGACACCCACGCACTGCCTCAACTTACACGAACACACACACATACGCAGACTCATATACACACGGACATAGATACACACACAGAAACCCACACACTACCTCAACTCACTCGACTTAACACTTCACACTGCACACTTAACAGATAACTCGCACTCTGACTTCCTACGTGATGAAACATGCTTTCGGGCCACTCGTCGTCTAGTTTGAGAGGTTCTTTTCAAGGGGTGTAGAGGATGCGAATAGGCCAAAGACAAAGAAGAATGGTGGATGTTTGATGGTTGTTCAGGAGACTTGGTCATTGAAAGGTACAAAAGAACATGGCCTAAATGGTGTTCTTTTGGAGTGTATAAAGCTGTATGCAGAAGCACTAGGTCCCATATTTGTAGGACTTGGGTCATGCTTGAAGGAAACTGTCCTTGCCTTGGAAAAGTGTCGCCTTTACTCATCAGTCGCAGGTGAGGTGACCCGATTTCAGGCACCTGGATGGGACTGCACATGAGCAGCTGTAGCCAGCACAGCATGGCAGCACACGAGTTGAAACTGTCCTCAGTCACTTACCTCAGTCTGATCTGATATCACTTACCTCAGGGCCGATGCAGCCGATGCATCTACTTCTCTCATCTACCGATGATTCGAGATTTACCGAGGTCGTCGTGCATCTTTCACGGATAATGAATGTTCTTTCACAAAAACGTTTCAAGTACCAAGTACCTTCTTGTACCCCAATCTGTAATCTATGGTCGAAAGGGCGACCAAGGGTATCTCAGAACGTGCTCATATTGACCGTAGTCCCCCAAAACCTTCCAGCGCCAGCTTTAGAAACACAAAGAAATGGAATCATCCATCAATAAATTATTGGATACAGTCTGTACAACCTTGAAAAAATGACGACCCAAACGTGCGGATTGTTTGACCTTGGCAGATGGCATCGGCCCGGTCTCCCCCATCCGCTTCATCCCACGCCTGGCCCCAAAAGGGGCTCCAACTCGAGACCTGCCGGGGGGGGTCTGGAAACGGGTCACAGGGGTGCAATGGTGATGTTGCCTTCAAAGCAAGAGTTGCCTCTATTGGAAGAAGCCACATTGGGACCAGGACCAAAAAGGGTCTTCCTGGGGCCATCATCCCGTTGGAATGCTTGTTGCAACAAAAGTACCAACCGGGTCCATTCACCTCTTTATCATATCCCAAGTCTTCAAATTCAGAAAAAGTTGCAAGTGAAAGAAACCACCTGTAGAAAAATAAGAAAGGGTCTTTCACCTTGAACGCTCGTTACAAAATCAAAAACACCGACCATTCGCTGCTCCACTGCTTCGCAGCCGCTCCAGCCGGAGGTGGATTCGATTCTGGGGATTGGAACGCGAAGATTCGTCCGTTCTTTGTTCCTTTGGGAAATACCTTCGCCCCAACTCCCCCCCTTCGAGAAGGGCTTCATAGAGCCAAAAACTCACCTTCGTTGGTTTCAGGAGGGAAAGAACAAAGGATGAAAGCAAGCAACAGAACTCCCTACAAACTCCCTGCACGAAATCCCTCAGCAAAACAAAGCGATTCCCAAAGCAACTCAAAAAGGTCCGAGACCTTTTGAAGATTTTTGAAGAATATCTAATGAGCCTAGTCTAAGTCAAGGGCTTGCCATTGACTGGTGGGGAAGAGTGAAAAACTGATCCATCAACATCGGGTGCACTCTGTCGACATCAAACGTAGACCAAACCGAGTCAAACGAACGTCGAGAGATCCCAAAAATCTCCCCAGGTTCTACGTCCGCAGGTTCTTCTCCTTCCACTCACCGACCCGAGGTGGAACCCCTCCGGCAGCCACCTTGGCCGCTTTCGGCCGTCCCACGGGACCGCCGCTTTCGGCCGTGGTTCACCTGGCGCCGCGTTCGTCGCGCCGAACGGCGCGTCGGACCGGGCCCCGGCGCAACGGAGGCGCCCCGGCGGAGCTTTTCTCCCAAGTTCATGCGCCCCTGATCGTCACCCCAACGAGCTTTGAGAAAGCCTCTGTTCACAGCCTGGATCTGTAGGCTGGCTCTGGCGCCAACAGGTTCTGGCTGTCAAACAGCCCTCGAACTCCTTGGATGATCCTCTCAGCAGCCGCCTTGTCACGTCCTTCCTCCTCGCATAGCTTGGTCAAGATCACGAGATGCTCATCCAGACGTCGGGCGAATTCCTCCTCCATCCCTGCCTCTCGATACTTCTTGGTCATCCGTTGCAAGTGAACTTCTGCCCCGATCTCCTGCAAGGTCACCGTCTCCAGCACTTCACAAGACCAACGCTCTCTGATAAACTTCAAAGATTCCAGAAAGTAGCTCTGAGGATCATGACAGGAGTCAAACTTTTGTTGATCGCGAGCTCCAAGAACCAACAAGGGAAGGTGCAAGGAGATGAGCGGAGCCTTTTGCCTCTCGGCGGACCTACGAAGAGGTGGCAACGATTCATTGTAGATCTTCAGCAGTCGCGTCATCGAAAAGCCATCCGGATGCTCCTGGGACAGCTCCTGCAACTTCGGCGCCAGATCCCGGTGCAAAATCCTCTGCCAAACCTTCCGATCGATGTCCCACTGACACTCCTGGAGCTCTGGCTTCACTGTGTAGGGGACGAGATCAAAGTCCCTACCACGGTAGAAGTCCTGGATCTCCACGGCGAAGTCCTTCCGTACGACCTTCGCGCGCTTCAAGCGCTCCTCATGACCAGTGGACTGTCTCTGCAGATCCAGCAAGACCTCGTACACAGTCTGAACCATGTCCTCGTCTCCATGCTTGATCTGCAGAAAAATGTCATGATCTGAGCGACAAGTGTCCATGCCCATTCCCACACTTCCTGACCACTTCCGGAGCAGTTGTGCAGTTACGCAGCGGTTGCGCAGGGGCAAGTGCGCAAGACTTGACCCGTTTGATGCTTGGGTGTGTTACACGCCTGACCTGGGACTAGTTGATCTGCTCTAACCTCAGGAAACACATCTAGGTTGGAGGCCATCGCTGTTAGGTTGGCTTCGTTTGGTACCTGCCATGAGCCAAATTTGGACACCTGACAGTTGCGACAAGAGACCAGCCGGTGAACCCTGTCCTCCACGAGAGGCCAACGGCAGCTTGCCTCGCAAGCGTTCATGCCTCCAAAGCATTCCCACAATCGGCCTTGGGCGGGTCAATCGGCCTCCGCCCGGTCAAAGGTTCGAAACAGCCAAAGCAACCTTCGACACCCAATATATCCGGGCTGCAAGGTTCTTTCTGCATTTCATCCAATATCAAACCAAAATTTTTGGAACTCGGATATCGGCCCATTTGAGAAAGCAAGGCGCTTGCGAATTCGATGCGACCTCCCTTGCCCATGACTCATCGCTTGCGCCAGCAGCAGTCCACCCAAGACCTCCTGGCATGACCATGTGCATTTCCCTATTCCTTGTTCACTTGAGGGTATCCCCTCTGTTCATCAAGCAACCAATAGTTGAAGGCCACCTATGACTGTGACCTCGTACTGGGGAACAGGGAGATGGTGATTCAAACCTAATCATCCCTGAAGCCCTTCCACTCACCGACAGGATTCGAAACCTCCACCCCCCCAAAAAAGGCAGCTTCCCTCCAGGGCTTTGTTGAACAGTCCTGTGCATCTGGAGCAGCTCCACTATTCCTGCAACAAACCAAACACGGGACAAACATGAACAAAGGGATTTCAATCAAACGATTGTTTCGACAATGGCATTGCTGGCCTTTCTCCATTAAACCTTCGCCACTTCGCCGCAATCATAGCCATCAGCAAATCGGAAGAGATGTTGCTGTCTCCAACCCATTCATCGATAACATCCCCATCGTATCCGGCAGAGTCTAGCAAAGCAGCAGCACGTGAAGCTTCTGTGATCCACTCTCCATCAACCAAGATGCCTTCTTCGTACCTCAACTTGTTCAGCATCGTGCCAAGCCGTGCGTATGCACGCGTGCGGTTCAGCACACGTTTCCCACGCACCACACTTTTCGCCCTCTTTTCGCTGTCACACTCCTGTGACAGCAAATGGACCATTTGCATAGCACTGCGGGGTGCAGGCCAGGTCCTCTGACGGCCCATGCACATCGGCGGTGGGAACAAACCCCAGTCCATCTCAGAGAACATGGTCGACCTGGTGTTGGTCGAAAGACCTTCTCCGTCCAGAAACTTCTCGTCCAAATCAGCGCACCGCATCATCTCGTCCTCCTCCTCTTCATCGCTGTCAACCTGACTCTCCAGCCCTGTGATCTCCTCCAAGATGCAGTACAGGGCCGCCAAACGCGATCGTCTGGCCGGTGAGGGCTGCAAGGACGGAGGTCCAAAAATCCGCGCAGATTCCAGAAACACTCCAACGGAGGGCCAATCCTCCAAGCCCTCCCGCATGAAACGGATCAAATCGGCTTTGCGCTCAGCGGTGTCGCTCTGCGGTGTCCATTCACAACGACGCGTTCCCTTGCATTTCCTCAGAATCCAACGACCTTTCTTCTGCCCTTCCTCTTGAAAGCTGAAGCCTGATCTCTTGGCAAGCCCCACCCAACTGCTGTTGGGAATGAGCAGGGCAAAGCAGGACTTGCAAAGGCGTTTCAAATACACCACTTTCAGCACCAAAAGCCTCAGCCAAATTTCAGGCTCATGCGTCTTATGCCCCAAGGATTCCAGTGGATGATGGTTATAAGGTAAAAAAAAAGCAACTATCAAAAGCGGTCATTTGCTCACTGTTACGGACTGGCCAAGGTCATCGTCGACTTCATCACCGTGAGGTCATGGGTGATGACCCCTTCGTCTTCATGCGGGCGATTGCTTGCGAAAGTGCATCTCTCATCATCCAAGCGTAGACAAGAGATACTTGCACTCTGCAGAAAAGAAAAGGGAGTACATCATGGGAACAGTAGATGAGTTGCGGGCAATGTTATCTACCCCAGACTGAAGGGATATCTGCCCAGCACGAGAAGTAGAGAAGTTACCGGGACCCATGGCTTAAACTTGTACCCGGCACTCAGGTATTCGTTTCAATCTGCAAAACTTGTTTGCAACCCAGCAGCTCTTTCTTGAAGTACTCATCCAAGCAATCCAAAAGTTGCAATGGTGGCTTGGTCAACACGGGAGAAAGAAAGACGCGAGCTTCCGGCACATTAATCGCAGACTTCAAATCTTTCATAGCTCGTTCATGCCACTCGCGTTGCAAATGGGCAGAAGCTGCCACGACCAAAATTGTCAGGTTCCCATCCTTTAGTTCCCCCTTGAGATTTTCCACAAGAACTTCTTCACTGGTTCCATTCTTTGCCGACCACCTCACGCGAATTTGGCAGAAAAGTCAAAGAGACCAATAAGGCAATGTCTATGGCAGGAGTTTATATCATGTAGAGCTACAAATTGAAAAGTTTGCACTGGAAAGCTTTTACCCACAGCATCAAATCTCACCACCCTTTCTCAAACAAACATGGAAAGCGGTCTCAGATGTTTGAAAGATGAAGGTCTTTCTCTACTAAGGCTGTCCAACCAGTTTCGACGCCACTCTTGGGAGGGTATCGAACTATCCCCTAAAAACAAAAGCCTCCCCAGCCTGTCCAACAGCATGTTCAAAGAGATCCGCAACTCGCCCTTCTTCATTGCTTCCCAGAAGATTTCACGAAGCTCTAAATCTCTGATGTTGCAATTCTCATCACTCAACTTCTCACAAAGCTTCTCTTGCCCTCAGCCAATTGTCCAGCTCACTTCGTGACGGTTAACACTCTTGTGCTAAAGTCAACGGTGTTCTTTTCCACAAGACAAGAATGGGTTGCTTGTTTTAAAGATATAACGCACATTGGCCATATCTGTTTTACTTATTTTAGGAAGTACAGGCACAAGGCTCCTTTCAACCGTTGAAATGTCCAGAAGCAGTTCAATGCGCCGATGGATGAACTTGCAATCTTCACCATAGTGACACTGTCTCCTTCGGCCGCCGGTCAAACGAATGTCCATTGTTCGAGGTTTCGGGTTTCGACAGTCACGTTGTTGACAAGCCGGGTCGAACTAAGGAGCCTTTTTTACGCAGGTCGAACATGTTGCCTCCCAATCAGCGCGAAGCAATCCCACAACACACCCCAAAAAAGATGCCACTCAACTACAGCTCGCTAGCGCGAATGGTAGCAAATGGGTCCTTTCATGATGAGTGCAAAGCTCTCTGGCAAAGGATCCACCATATTTCTGCTGGCAGCTGGCAGATTGTTTCATTCCCCGAGTTGGAAGAACCTCAGAGCACAGTCTCACTGGACTGAGAAGCGCAGTGCGTTTAGGCTAAGATTGAGAATGTTGCGGAACGCCATGACCCACACAGAATCAAAGTGGCGTGGGAAGTCTGCAAAGGTTTGAAGAATGAGAACACAAAGATGATACCGGCACAGACTATGATGTTTGATGTTTGGCAGGTGACGCCAAACAGTTGGCTGTGGCCAATTCCCTTTTTCGGAAGAGAGAACCCCAACAATAAACTGTTTGGGAAAAAGACGCTCTGCCCAGCCTCACTGAGAAGAAGTCGTTGAACACAAAAGCGACCAAATTCCATCTCATCCTCTACACCTTCACAGGAATTCCTCCAAGCACTCGAGGACTTGGGTTTCGAAGCAAGCACCACATCACGTTCATCCTGCACACCATGCTGGTTGGCCGCTTGCACACCATGCTTGTCGAGCTTTACGATCAAAGTGCGGCGCTTAGAGGGTTGGGCGAACCCAGATTGACGAGCTCGCCACACCAAGTCGTAGCAGACGTCCAGCGGCACCGTGGCATGCTCCGGATTCTGGCCATAGTGAAACATCGATTCCGCCAAACTTGGAGTGGAGTAAAACTCCACACCATCCACCCGTTCTAGGAAGGAGAAGGCAAATCCTTCGAAGTCAAGCGGCTTCACAGACCTTGCGCGCTGAAGCGCAATTGAAGCACTCTTGTAGCCACGTGCCCCCCTCTCCCGGTGGATCCTAACACCAGGTGTTTCTTCAGCACAAGCTTGCCAGTCCACAACTCGGTTTCCACAATTCCAGGTGGACTTTGCCGTGAGCCTGACGTGGTAACAGCTGATTTTCGTCCGAAATGTTTGAAACCGAAGGATCGCAAGCAGCAGTTCTGAAGTCATTTCAGGTTCCAAAGGTGACAATGCAACATCTCTGTCTGTGTCTTTCATTGCCAAATGTAGCCATTGGTCTTTGTCTTCGTGGGCAAAGGTGGATTTCAGGCCTATGGGCATGCCGCGCAGCAAATCATTTCTCCACGCCATCTCGAGATCCTCGCGGGGAACCTCGCGGAGAAGGATCTTACTTGGGATGCGGAACAAAGGTCTTTCAGCAGATGCAAACTTGTTAAAGGCATCTGCAAGAGACTTGGGCAGCTTGGAGCTGCCAAACTGCAAAGGTGCTCTGGGGACAAGCAGATCTGGGGCTAATTCCTTCACTTTACGCTCTCTTGTTGGCTGAGCTTGAATGTCCTGCATGTGCGGCGGACGATCATGTCTTGAGAAAGTCTGGGAACAAACATCTGGATCAGCCTGCTCTCCACACTGCTCATAGCACTTGCTACACAGCACAGCCCTTGGTTCTTTGCGTTCGTAGCAGGTACCATGCAAAGGAAAAGCCTTGCATCTGTCGCAGGTCCGGTTGTGGACCGATGGATGCTCCAGGCGCAAATGCTTGAACAAGCTGTTCCTGGATGTGAATGCTTCCTGACAAAAGACGCATTCGCAGCTGCCCTTGTCAGCATTGCTCGGACCGCTGGGGTTCCGAAAAGAGACCATGTGAGCAATCCCAGCGAGGCCGGATCGAGCCCACTTCAGGAAGTGTCCCATGCCAAAACGGGCAAACTGGCTGCTAGTTGTCGGATTGTTCGTTTTTCGTGATACAGTAGGCGGATTGTGGTTTCAAAGTCTTCGAACTTGGACGCCGCAAACTCTTTTCGTGACAGGCGGCGTTTTTTCAAAACTTGGACCACAACCTCTTCGTGTCAAACAGCAACTTTTTTGCCTTAAGAATTGAAACTCTGGCAGATTGACCTCAGAGCCACGGACACGGCGCACCCAAAAATGCAACAAAATGTGTTTGTTTCTTTCCTGTGGGCTTTTGGTGTCAAACCTGAAGACTCAGACTTGGGTATACTTCCACTTCTGTTTATCTGGCTTTTTGGGGCTGAAAAAACACCCTCAAGCGCACCCCACTTCCGCACGCGGCACCAAAAAAGGACCCCTTTTGGGGAGCGCACCAGCTTCTCATCGCCAGCTTCGTGAGGCCCGAAGCAACACGCACCTGAGGAGCGCGCGATGCAGGAGCCGAATGGGAACGACGTTGAAATCCTCTTCCTCTTGCGACGTTGGGATCTTACGACATGAAACGAATCAAAGGATCCGATCGTGACGGGACAGAGCGCAGGCGAAACGGGCTCTTCACACCTCTTGGAGTCTTAGCCTTCTTAAAGTGAAGCCTTCTTGGAGTTTGAGAACACAACAACTGCTAAGTATATATATATATGTGGATATCAGCAAAACGCAACGAGCAAACAAAACGGTCTTCCCCTCCAGCCGTCCAGAGCACGGTGTCGCCCATCCACTTCATGCTCGGTGGGGAGCAAACACCCCAACGCCCTCCCCCCCCCCCCCCCCCAGCACGCGCCGGGGGAAGCTGGGCCCCCCGTTCGCGAAGTCAAAGGGCCTGTGTAACCTGTCCCGCCACGGATTTGGCTGCCCAAAATCAGGTGAACCGACTCACACGTCGACCTGATGTCTGTCCTCACTGGCTCACATACTCCATGCAGGATGTAAGATACACCGACTGACATGGTTGGTCACGGTCTGATGATCACCCCAAGGTAAAGCTGTCCGACCGGCTGCACCAGAATGGTGGAAACCGACAAAGAAATACACTTTGAAGGTAGATGAGGGGTGACCGACAATATGTGTGAAGAACCTGACGGCCGAAGGTGTGAGGAACCTGACGAGCTGAAGTCTCATCAGATTGGAAGCATAAAAAACCATAAGGCTAGGCTGTAGCCGTAGCTGCTTTTTGGCTCACAAAAAAACTAGAAGCTACTAGGTGGAGGCCATCGCAAGTAGGTTGGAGGCCGTTACAGCTAGGAACAAGAAGCTACTCGTAGCTCCTGGCATTACTACTAGTAGCAAGAATCTACCACCAGCAGCCAGAAGCGGTCTGTTTGCTCATTCCTCTGGAAAAAAAGGGAATTCTGGTCTTTGGACCGTGGCACCGTGAGTCAGCCGCCATGTCTTTCGGCAGTCTGACCGTCTCTTGATCCTTCGGGACTACGGAAAAAAGGGTCTTCCTGCATTGCCGAGCCTATTATTTCCCACCGTCCATCGTCTATCGTGCATCTGTTCGTTTCACCTGCCACCGTCCACCGTCCTGATCAAAGGCCTCTCCAGGGAAGGAAGCATCGGAGACCCTTCGAGCCTTAAAACACGTGTCGTCGCACCTCTGCGGTTCGAGAAAACGGTCCCTGTTTTCAACCGAAGACCGTTCTGCATCACCATCAAATCAATTCGTCCAGATCCAACGGCCTGTGGCTCCATGGAGGGATTCGGATCCACAACCTCACGTGAGGCGAAGAGTAGAGGTGAAAGACAAGCGTGGAAATGTAAGGCAAACTCAAGAACAGGTCACAACGTGGACCCTTTGATCGTAAAAACATGGAATAATCTTGGACGATCCTGGTGACCTTTCTTTTCCCACTAAGGTCCTTTTTGCGGGTACCAACCTTTGACTCACTCCGAACATCACTTTTTCTCAAAGTGCCTCGACCTCGACCCTCCGACGCCCCGGGCCCAGCTCACCGCGGGACACCCGCTCCACAGCCCGAGGTCCGGACTCTCTCCGCCGCGTCACGCTTCGCCAGCTTCGCACGTTGCGCAGCTCTTTGGGGCCACGCCCCGCCTTCCAACCCACCTAAATAAAGTCACTTTAGCCGGCCACTCGGGTATACCGTTGTTGATTCTTCCGTTTGGTTTTTGGTCTTCAATTGCAACTTCTCACTAATCCAGCGGTTGCGGATCTTTTCTCAGTAGCGTCGAATGCAAAACCGCTAGTCCAAGGTGCTCACATGGAATCTTTTAGCCTTTATCTCGGATTTGCTTCAGCCGCTGATCTGACGGTCGTCACTCATGCAAACTGGTGATCCGGACGCACTGAAACAGTAGTCATACATGTTTCGAACACAATCGCACATCCGACGGGTCCTTGATCCAGATCCACTGGTCACTGATCTGCAGTTTTTTAGAGGTCTTTGATTTTTTTATCATTGATCCTAGTCGCAGGCCTGTAGTCGCTGACCCAACCTTTTAGTCTCTACCTAACACAGCCAAAAACAAACAGTCGTAGCACTTTGAGTCACAACGAAAAATATAGGTGGTACAGTGCAAAAATTGCACAGCTGAATCCTCAAAGTTGCACGTTATTTCAACACGCCATAATGTTGAATAAAAACGTTCAAAGCCCTTTCAAGCAAAGTTTGGGTCGCAACACTGCACACAAAATTACGCACGTTTCCTTGACTGTAAAAAAGGCTGTGCAGTATAGTCATGCATTCTTCATGATGCTTGTATTCCTATATACATGAGGTCTGATCTTTATGGAACATGGTTCGCAGTCCTTCTTGCCGATGTGAACTCTAAAATGTTTGCTTGAGCTCATTTTGCCACCATTGTCCACTTTTTCCATTCAATTGTTTCTCTCTTGCAAATTTTTGCATGTCTCTAAGAACTGGGTTCCCACAAATTGGCAGTATTTCTGTGTGTAATCTATCTGGAAATTTTTTCCTCATGACTGCACATTCTAACAATTATTGATACATCTCCATTTCTTTCTCTACCATAGCTGCTGCCTCCTGGTGTCCTCTGCTCATTAAGTTCCAATGGTTTTCATTGAATTGACCAAGCTTTGCTTCAACTCGACCACACATTTGGCTTGCCTGTTCTGTGATGTATTGTTCTCTGATTGATATTTGTCTGTTTCCTTCTGATGGTGTTGCTCCATCTGTAGCTGCTTTCAACATTACTCTGTGTCCCCAATATTGTCCTTCTGATGCTTGCATATCTTCCAAGCTTCTTCTGGCCAAAAAGTTTCCTGCATTCAACTCTTGTAGCACATCATAAGCGATGATTGTTGGAATGTTTGGTGTTTCATGTTCAGTAGAGCCTCCACTGAGAATCAATTCGCAATGAATTCTCCTGGCGCAGTTGTGTGGCATATCGAGCATCTCCTCATAGTTATCAATCTCTCTGATGTCACTACCAGGTTACCAGGTTTTGTGATTTGGAATTCTGCGTTGTCTGTCCTGTAGTCGGTATGTTCCCAAGATTCCCAATAGCGCTTCTCCACATGATAGCATCCTTCATCACAACGCTTTTCAACATGCTTGTAGAACTTTTTTAATGCAAAGATCACTGCCACAAAACCAATGATGCTGATCATGATGATCACTGCAATCAAAAATTTGCAAATGTGATTGGATTCCTTCAGTTCCTCTAGTCTGATATCTCCCAACCCACACTGGATATTGTCGTCTTCTTTGAAAAATGCCTCTGTAACCATTGGTTGCAAGCCCTCTGACGCTACCATTCTCACAAGCATTTTGGCAATTCTCCATCACGCCACAAGCATTCAGGTCTATTTGTACACTTCTTCTCTAATTCATCTTATTCGTCATCCTACTCTTCTTCTCCAACTTCTCTACACTTCCCCTGAATCTTTAATCTCACAGCAGGCTCTCTAGATGAGTCCGGTACACTCCAAAACTCGTTCTCACACTCTCGAAACTCTTCAAGACTACAACAACTCAAGCTAACGCAGCGCACTCCCTGGCGCCCTTTTACTCACACTTGAGCCAAAAGTCACCGCCGTTCCAAAGATTGTACATATGTAAACTACACACACGCAACTCTTTACAAAAAGCTTCTAAACACTCGAAAAGGCTAAAGAACCCTGTCAAGACTTCAAAAAACAAACTACAGTGTTAAAGTCCGGTTCTGTCCCATTAAGAACACAAACCAAACAACACAAAACAAACAAAGCCAAAGAAAGCAACAAGCACGAGCGAGGTGGCCATCCGACCAATGGATTTCTCACCCCCTCTTGGACATTTCGCTCGGAACAACAGGCTGCTATTAAACCTTCTTATTCTTCTTCAGTGAGGACAGTCATTTCGAACACAAGTCAACCATGCCTGAGCAACACGGATTCAAGCGAACCTTGCTCCGGGGAACTAGACCTTCTCACACTGCCCCAAAAACCTGGGCAATGGTATATCACCCACCGTGATAGAAGGTTCCTTCTTCAAACGACTCTGAAAATCAGCATGCTCACGACGCCGACTCAAACAGCACCAGGTCAGCAAGCTGCCACAAATGACTCCCGCTGCAAAAGACCATAGCGGCCGCGGCTTCCAAGCTAAGCGCAGCAAGCATTGTTCCCACATCCAGGGCCATCATCATACCTCAGGACGGTATGAGCGAAACATCAAGCTGAAGCTGGCACTTATCACACGCCTGATCTATGAAGTCTCATCTTACGAGTTTCTGCAAAAACGTGCCATTCTGGACTCGAAAAATGCGTGACTCTTATGCGGTTAATTCAGCTTAAAACCCTTTAAGGATTAGCTCGCAAAGCTTCTTGGGATAACGCTGCGTCCCTTTCCAATTAACATCTTTGGAAGACAAATGATCATGACGACCATCACAGACACAGACCTTGAGACTTTCAAGTAAACGGGTACTATGAGTATTGACTCCATGTTTTCTTGACTAACTGATTCTTCTGCATCAAATCGACCGAACACGCTTCAACGAAGGTGGAATATAGAGCTCTCTTTCTAAGAAACTTT